CGCTGTCCCTGTCTATTTGGCCCTGACAGGTTGCGGCTTTACGATATATCTGGGGCTGTGGGGTTTAGAATTATATGGTCTACTGTAGCCTACAAAATTGTGAAGCTTTGCAGGTTAAGAGCTTGGGGTCTAGGGTTTCTTCTGAAGGCAATGGACTTAGGGTTTTTGGTTTTCGGGGTCCCTTGAACATTTGGGACTCTTTCTTTCGAATGATTCGCTCAGGCGGCCAAGCTGCGGGCCACCTCACGCGCTTCATTAGGCTTCACGTTGGGGGTCTAGACTTTTGAGGTCTCGGCTTCGGGTTTGGAAGATGAGAATTTCAACAGTTCCAAAAAAGCATCAGGGGTTAGGGCTGGGGGCCTTAATAATTAGAATGGGGGCCCGTTATACGATAGATATACTAAGGAACCCCCAAAATAGTATTGGTAACTATTTAGGCTCCTACATTAAGGATGCTTGGGGATGGCGGGGGCTTCGTGATTCTGGGATTTGGGGCTGTTGAACACTGGGTGTGCCCAGCTTTAGCCTTTTGCGGTTTGGAGGCAGCGGTGCAGGGCTTCAAGTGCAGCGTGTGCGGATTTTGGGGGTTTGCTTAAGACTTTCCGAGACTGCCCAAAACACCTGATGTAAGAAGGGGCATCAGAAATCAAGCTGAAGTTTGGAGATGGATCCTAATTTTTGATATGGCTATGCATATCGCTCATGACGCGATAGTACTAGGTCTGCCGACCTCGGTAGCGTGGGAGAACCCTGAGCTTTGTGGTAATATAGGGGGTTTAACACTAAGAATACTGTTTTCGGGCCCATTCTATTATGAATATAATAAGGAGCCACCAAACTAGGCTTGGATTTAGGTTCAGGGTTAGTTCAGGGAGTTTAGGGATCAGGGTTTAGGTTTAGGATTTAGGGTTCAAGGTTCAGAATTCTTCCTCTTGAAGGGTTCAGGTTTCGAGGATGACCAAAAAAACGATGGAGGCATAAACGCATGCCCGTAGAGGTAGCCCTAGACATTTACACTATAACCCCGCAATCCCACCCAACAAAACACCCTGTGAAACCACCCAAGCCTCCAAAACCGACACCAACAATTAAACCCTAAACGCTAAACCCTAAACCCTAAACCCTAAACCCTAAACTTAACAGGCAATTAACAGCCAAACACTAAAACCCTAAAACTTTGAACCCCAGGAGCCCCTCGAAAACACCCCAAAAAAAGCAACAGGCCACACTATCAACCAGGGTTTAGGGTTTAGGGTTTAGGGTTTAGGGTTTATAAACCCCACAGCCCAAAACCCCAAACTCCAAGCCCAAAACCACACGCTCCAAGCCCGAAGCCCTATTCCGCAAGTTCGAAACCTGAACCCTAAACCCCCCTTTTCTTTGCCGTCCTCGATCTTGAAGTCTCTTCCGGCGGCTGCAAAAGCCTATCAGGACAGGGCTGTCTTATTGGGTTCTGGCTTCTGAATAACGCTATTACGGATATTATTGTTCCTGGATCCATTATTCTAACAAGAGTATTATTTTTGTTATTAGGCTATAGCAATAACAATGGTATCAATGATACTTATCATTGGTATCATCATTATTGGAAGGATTACTGTTAGCTAGTCTGACAACTATGACTAATAATACCTGCATTTGTTCCTTTTTGTATTCGTCGTCCTTGCTGTTGTTGGAAGTGGTGTTGTTGGTGTTGTTAATAATATTTGTTCATGTTGTTGGTGCTACTGTTGTTGGTGTTGTTTTTTGTGGTTGCTGATTTATGTTGCTGCTGTTGGTGTTGCTGTTCATGCTGCTGTTGCTGCTGGTGCTGTCGCTGTCGAAGTCGCTGTTGCAGTTGCAACTGGTGCTGTTGCTGTTGTTGTTGTTGTTGCTGCTGCTGTTGTTGGTGTTGTTGGTGTTGTTGCTGTTGTTGTTGTTGTCGGTGGTGGTGATCGTGGTGGTGTCGCTGTTGCTGTCGCTGTCGCTGTTGCTGTTGCTGTTGGTGTGGGTGTGGGTGTTGGTGTTGGCGTTGTTGTTGTTGTTGTTGCTGCCGTTGTTGTTGCTGTTGTTGGAAGTGGTATTGGCGGCGGTGGTAGTGGTGGCAGTGGTGGTGGTGGTGGTGGTGGTGGTGGTGGTGGTGGTGGTGGTGGCGGTGGTGGCGGTGGTGGCGGTGGTGGTCGTGGCGGTGGTGCTGCTGCTAGTGGTAGTGTTGGTGGTGGTGGTCGTGGCGGTGGTGCTGCTGCTAGTGGTAGTGTTGTTGTTGTTGTTGGTGGTGGTGGTGGTGGTGGTGGCAGCGGGGGTGGTGATGTTGGTGTTGGTGTTGTGTATATTGTTGTTCTTAGTGCTGGTGTTATGCCAATGTCAATGCTATTGATGATAATGTTAATGTTGATGTTAATGAGCGTCGAGGGTTTTAGGTAAAGGACTCGGAGTTCTTTCTGCAGTCGTCGTATTTCAGAGGCTCATCGTTCAACTACGTCTAGAATTGCCATATTTCGCCCAGCAGCATTACCCAGTAGCAATTATCACCAACCGTAACTCAAAAATTCTAGAAGAAACCGGCATTGAGGCTTCTGCCAGCAAGGCAGGAACCATCAAAAAGGGGTCAGGCAGCCCCCACTCTCCAATCCAAACCAAAACACTCAACATGTGGGCTTTACTCTCCAATGAACATGTGCGGAACCTTTATCCGGATCTTAGCGCATGCAGTCCTTCTAGATCTGGAGCACCTTAAGCCTTACCCTTAGCATCAAAATAACCCAAAAGCCTTATATAATAGGGTCTTTGGGCCCAAAAGCCTTAAAATATGAGTCCTTAGAGTCCTAGGGTAAGCCTTAACATTGGACCTGCATTCTGCACCTCAAGACCCAGAGACTCCGAACACCTCTTAGGTCAGCGAAAGGGTTTAGGGTTTAGGGTTTGATTTACCTCGAACTTCAGGGCACAGAAACCCTAAGCACCCCCGCCACTCCGAGGTACCCCACCTTTGCCCCCTCGTCCGCCAGCCGCACGCCGTCGGAGAACAGAAGGGCCTCAAGAGAGAGCAAGACAGGTTTAGAGGTTTTCGGAAAAGGAGCATAATGTAGCGACCTCAATAATTACATATACAAGTACAGGCGTTCCTTATTCTAATTATAACAGGATACCACAAACCCTATTCTTATTAAGGAAGGGCATTTCTTGTTCCTTTTGCCAAACCTCCTTTAACTTTTCTGCGAAAGCGGAACGTTTCAGTCGCCGGTGTTCCAACCCTGCTGAGCTTGCTGCAAACGGACGTGTAGCATGTCACATGCAATTGCGAGCACCTTACACACTGGAGGCCTGGGGCGAGATAATCTTCTCGTCCCTTTTTTGGATGCACCCCATCGGGTTTGGGGTTTAGGGTGTAGGCTTTAGGGTTCGGTCGGGCATTCGGGGGTCAGTGTCAGCCATCACGACTTCTGCCTGCTCAAAGCGCAAGGACAAGGCTACCTTCTCCGGGTTGCAAGCGTTTCAGTTGAAGTTGTCGATGACTTAGGGTTTAGGGTTTAGGGTTTAGGGTTTAGGCCTACAAACCCTAAAGCCTTGAGAGCCCATACACCATCAAACCCTCGCCACTGTATGTAAGTCTGAACACTGAAGCCCTCTAACCCCCGTATGACCCGAAATAACCAGAATGCCCTAAAACCTGCAGATTGCGATCATTTCCTTACAAGTGACATTTCAAGTGCCTTTTGGGCACTGTGCCAGACCACGAGACTCAGGCCTAAACCCTAAACCCTAAACCCTACACCCTAAACCCTAAACCCTAAACCCTAGGAAAGTAACGACACCGCACGTCCAGGCCCCGGCGCAAACGTAAGCCCTCAACGCGAGAGGATGTCCCGATGGAGGTTTAGGCTTCAGGGTTTAGGG